GAATATATAAAGCATAAATATATAATAGAAAGGCTTAGAAGAAAGTACATCAAAGTTAGGAAGACTGATGCAAATACAGGACCTAAATACAACTAGCAAGTGGACTGTTTTGTCTCTGACTTTTTATAAGAAAAAGAAAGCTAAGCTACATTCTGCAATAAGTCAACAAAAGAAGTAACTGATGACCTGAAAGGACTAAACCATTCTCGTACAATTGACCAAATAGTACCTTACTTGACAGAAAAAACAGATGAGACTTCATGAACTTCTTCTAGCATCCTTTTTACTTTTTTAAGCAAAGAAAAAAAAAACCCCAAACATGAAGAGATGAAATTTTTAAAAGAGATACATAAACTGAAACATTACTACCTTTTATCTCTACTAGTCCCTAACCAAAACTTGTTTTAATGTCACAGTAAGACACGAAGCAATACACCTGTACTCCTCTACAATCCAGCAGGCATCTGTTGGGTCTCTTGATACTGATCCAAGAGGGTAATTATCTGAATCTCACTGTGCAATCAGAGGTACAGCTTTTGTGGAACAAGATTTGCATTTCCACTGCTACAGCCATTCAAGTCAAGAATCACAAACAAACCCATGACTCCTGAGAAGTTACAAAAGTGCAGGTCAACTATCCTGAACTGGAAAGGCTGAGACAACTGCTGCATCATCTCTGAGCAAATTCCCTTTCCTCTTTTCAGTTTGTTCTATTTGAAGACTACCACACATGATTCTTTTGGACTTCTGATATATAGAAGTATGTCATTCTGTATATTACAGAAGGACAATCATGGAAGACTATAAGTACTCAACTGTGACCCTGATTAATGGTGGAGATTTAAATCATATTTCAAAAAGCACCTGAAATACCACATGGAAAAAAGCAAAATATGACACAACAAAGCAAAAGAAACAGGAAGCAATAAAACAGTACAGGGACTCTTTTCTATGACCTCTCATGAGGAATTTGAAGGGTATAAAAGTGTTTTATTACTTCAATTTTCAGTCTTCTTGACAGAACTCTCCTGTGCACCAGTCACCAAGTCTGCGATCCATATAAATCAGTTTTGAAAGAAAAGCCACAGATAGGAAATTGGGAGCCACAGGAGCTGCCATTTATCATACCCTCCCTTCAGTACATACTCTCCAGCAACAGAGCAATAGTGAAAGATGACATCAGCACCTAAAGCCAAAAATCACCTCTTTCTAAATTAATTCCATGACATATGATCTGATCTCACCTGAATGGTATCTTTTATTATATTAATGCAATACCACACTTACTGGAGAGCTGTTCTGGTGCGGGAGAGACTGGGACAGGCACTGCGCTTGTGACCTGCCTTGCCACACACAAAACAGCCCAAATCAGTCTTCTCACAACTGTGGTTTGGAAGAGCACAGCAGTTGCAGTTGTTACAGTGACACCAAGCTGCAAAATAAGAGACATGATTTATTATCATGAAAATGTTTATAACAATAATTCTGAAAATGAGGTTTAAATGTAGGTCACAATACCCAGTTTTTAATTCTGGATTAGTTTTACAGAGATGGATGTGGTCAGTTTCTGGTCCCTTATCCCATTTCATAAGGCAGCCAGATACCTCACTAGATATATTGTGCAATTATATGTGAATTATTTTGCCATGAGAACTACTATCACATATGTGATCTTCACAGGGAAAAAAGTCCAGATGTTACAATATATTTACAGACTGTGATTTCTGTAACAGTAACAGAAGTTATTGCTTCAGCTATTCGAACAGAGCTATAAATACAACTAAATTTGTACATGAAATATAATTTTACCCCACCCTCTCAAACATTTTATTAATTCCCTATTTATTTATGAAATTCTAATGAAAAAGTTTACAGAATTAGGAAACACTTACATGACACATGAAAATATTCCAATTTTCCCATAACAAATATAGATGGGATTTCGTGTGCCTTGCCAAGAATTTATCACATTTCCACACACAGCAAATACACTTAAATTAATAAATAGCAGCTTGTGCGAAATGGAGATTTTTCCTTTACTCTATGTCTTCTACTACATTTTACATCTACGTTTTTTCTCCTGGTTTGTAATCTGTTTCTTTGGACTAAGTGCACTTTTATTTAGAAAAGTATTTTTGTGTACTTACAGGGTTTTACACATTTTTTGCAAAGAACACAATGTTTCCATTGTCTGCCATCCTATAAAAGACAAATAAATGTTTTTTTAATTAATCCCACACACACTGATTCTAGCTTAAAACGGAACTACTGATGTATGGACCCCACTGTTTACAGAAACAAATCCTCTGTAGGAAAGACTGTAACTCAGAAACAACAAACCTGAGAATCTGTGGCAACCTCAGCAAAAGTGCTGCATTTTAAAGTTAGCAAGTTCTAGAACTTCAAAAGATAAGAAAATATGTATGTGCCAACAGAGCACTGGGGAATAAATTTTGGCATGAGTGGCAAGTAGCAAACTTCTCCTCTTTACAACACAAAGGAGTCAGGGAAATAGAAATTAATTCTCAGTGGGTTATGAAGGAATGTGAAAGGAATAATAAGTCTACAAAATTGGAACTGTTAGGGGTTTTCCGTGGAACTTGGTATCAGAATAGGTTTTCGCCAGAGTAAATATTACAGAGGTTGCCATCTGACTACTGCTAAAACTGCCATTCAGAAAGAAGGGAAAATACTTACTTTTGACGTACATGAGTTGCATATCTCACAGTGCTGGTTACCAGAACTAACATAACGCTGACATAAAGTGCAAAACCTGGAAAAAAAATGTACTGGTCCACATTTGCTCACAAAACAATTAATTTTACACAAGCTTAACAATAAATATAAGGACAGTAAAATAATTTTGTTGAATTAAAGATTACATCTTTGATGCATAAATGATACTTAGGACATTTAGACACATCCACATAGTAAAATTCTGGTACTTGAATTTAAATTATTGACACTATCACAGAGAATCAAACTAAATCCATTCCTCTGCCCTTGATGCTTCTCTTAGGGTTCATTTTTTTAACTACTGTCTCAACAAAGCTGATTATCAGACATAGCTATAAATTTCTCTTGCAGGCATATATAACATTTCTCATGGAGAAGCAGTGAAAATATAAACTTCTTTTTAGGTGCTCAGCCCTCCTACACATTATCTATGTGACGTATGTCACATGTAACTTAGGAAGGAGACAGAAAAATGTGCTCTCGAGCCTGGCATCCAAGTTAGGCAAGACAATACTGAACAGCACCATCCCAAACTCCTTTAGAGACTTCACGCCCTAATTGAGAAAAAAGACACTCTTTCAGTTACTTGAGCATTAACACATCTTACCTATAACCCTCTTCTACAGGAAGTACAATCATACTTGGGGTAAGGTTTGTGAAGATACGGACAGGAGATTGTCTGCGACCTGTCTTGCCATGTTTATAGAGTGCATGATTATCATAGTCTACCTAGAAAATAAAACCATAAAGAAGAGTCTTAAACTGAATGCTAAGCACAAGCAGACCTATTTACATGTTTTTTATTATCTTTTTATGTGCCTTATAAAACGCTCACATTTATACAAAGACAAGTAATAAACTGCAGGAACATGATAAAGTTATCAAAAGTATGACTAACAGAAATACAGAATTCAGGCTTCACTTGAGCGCCACGGGCTTTGCAGTGTCTCCAACACAGTCAAAGTTCAAGGCCACAGACAATCTACAGACAAGGGCTACCACTGTATCTGCTTCATGCATATTCCTGTTCACACTGCACACAACTGATATTTAGTAGAATCACTGGGTTCAGCCATACCTGGTAATCCATCATACTGAAGCTTGGGAAAAAGTCGAGAATACGAGATTCAAAGAAGTAGGGAAATAGCCAGAACATGGGCATCTCTTTATTTCCTTGACCTAGTAATGAAAAGGTTTTGATGCGCGTAAGAGAAAAACAAGGTACGTGAAGCATGAGAAATTTACAGTAAACATTCTGCATACATAAACCTGGATATGTATGTCAGGCTGGGCATATGAACTAGTTCCTGTAGGAAACAAAGTTTTGGCACAGCTGTAAGTGCCACATAACTAACAACTCTTGTAAGAAAGAGTACTGGTTTGATAGCTTATTTCTTGGTAAGAAATGGTACTGGTTTGATAGCTTATTTTTCTCTACCTTTTAAGTTCATTTTAATGAAAAAGTAGATCTGGAAAAGAATGGTAAAGGGTTTTAAGAGAGACTTAGAGAATTGGGCATCAATTAACTAAAAATATCAGGAGACTAAATAGGATATATGGTAGTTCATCTTCAGAAATTATAATGTATGTTCACATTCAGCTGAGCAACAAGAATCACAGACTTATTTTGAATAGGTACTTTTCTTATAGTGATGTTACTGCTTTAACCCCCCTATCTGGCTGTAATACATACCTTCTTTTCCTGTCTCCTTCCACATTGCCATCAGTTTTTTAAAACTAGAAGCCAGTGCTTCCACTAAGCCTCCAAATGGAGGATCAGTTACCATAATGACTCTTTCACCATTATCTTCATACAAGAATTTCCTACAAGTTTCACGTGCAGCCTGTAAGAAAGAGAGGTTAATTTATAGAATTACAGATTAAAGAGATGTAAAAATATTGTATTCAGCAATAAAATGATCATTGTAGAAGTTTCAGGTTTTATTCTTGTGGAGGTGAATTTCCTCTTGTATAGCATTAAAAAAAAAACAAAACAAAACCCAAAAAAATCCCAAACAAAAAAAATCCACTGGATTTGAAGCACTGAAAACAAGTGCCCTTTTCAGTTAATGTATCAAGGGCAGATGCAGCTCAAGCTTCCAAAGACAGTCTTCTCCCTAAGGATACTAAATTTACCTCAGAAAAAATGACGTTATTCATAGTGAGAAAACAAAGTTGAGGCTCAGAATACATTTTATTCATGCCCTTTAACTTACAGTTCTATTCTGCAAAGCATTACCAAAGCATTAGGAAAAAAACGAGGCCACTGAAAACCAATTCAATCCACACCGATTATAAAAATACATAGTATTCAAATTGTAGCAATCCAACCTGGAGTCTATTATTAAAGGAAATGTAGAAACCTATGTGTTCACTCACTGCCATCTTGCAGTGTTCTGTCATCTGTTACTTAGATGCTATTGCACACCAAAAGCAGATTTTTAACACTAATATAAATATACAACCGAAAGTTCTGCAATTCAGTCCTTGAATACACTGCAGAACAGTGTCATTACAGGTGTCACCTTTGCACACCTTGAAAAGAACACTGCAATATTTATAGTATAGATGACCAGAGTCTGTAGTTTTAACTGAAAAATACAAAACTTGAATACAGTGATGGATCACAAATATTTAAAGTTAAGGCTTTCAGACCAGCTTCCCATTTCATTCTAAATGATTCTTTTTATTTTCAAGATTTCATTCAAATGTAGCCTTTAGAATGGAAAAATCTGAAAATTACCTACATGCTGTGAACAGTATTGCAAGAAACATGTTTATACAAATAACCAGAGGCTTACTAATGGCAGAGGAAGAGCAAAGAGTGAGTATTTATTGGGATAAGTGTTTAAAATTAATGTTTGGTCTTGAATTAGACTGTGATTCTTTTACAAAGCTATAACAGACATCCTATTACAGCTGCAGGTATCCTAACAGACTCAAAATTAAGCATTTCATGCGACATTTAAAAAGAAACAAGAAATTCTGCATTTTTGCTAACCATTACACCAATTCCATCTCATTTTATGACACAAGGTTAACCTTTTCACCTTGCTTTTCTGGAATAAAGCACAAAAACCTCATTTTCCCTCCCACCTCAAGTACTCGTGATCAAGTCTTGTCCCATCCACTGGGCTGGTAAAGGCTGGGAATAAAATAATGAATTCTGTTGTAGCAACACAAGAAACGGGGTAATGAATATTTACATGAGGCAACACTTCACACCACACTGTCATTTCAACAAAAGCAGCAGTTAAGGTGTGTAAGCAACATTAGTTAACATAAATGTAATAAGTTTGAATCAAGTGGGAGAGAATTACTGAAGAGGCACTCTCATTCATTGATTTTCAGTACTACTGACCATTTTTGCTCATGATGTTTTCTACTAGACCAACTTCTTACAAAACTTTGCATCAAGAACACATACTTCTTTACAAAAGCACTCAATAAATACTTGGCCTTACCTCTCCACCAAAAAAATGATGATTGAACATGTTGTAGTGGCAGAATTCATCCTCTGTGTAAAATTGTGAATACCTGGAAAATAAGTTTGAATAATAGTAGAAAAATATAAACAACTTCTTGTGTGTCCTAAAGGGCATTTGGAATGGAAACAGGCCTTAAGAAAACAACATCTTTGGGTTCTGATTACTGACAACACACACTTATACTGAGGCATTATTAAGTATGATTACTTTTCTCATAAACTGGATGTCATTTGTGTATGGGTGCATGAACTAAGATGTAGAGACAAGAAAGGGAAAACAACCACCACTTTATCTTTTAAAGTAGTAAGAACACAAATCTTTATACTTGTTCTTTAGATAGATAAACATTAAAACCTACCTGAAATCAATATCTAGTAGAAGGCTTCTAACCCTGAAATCTTCTTCTTGTGATGATTTTGACTGGATCATTTCATGAAGCCTGAAGTACAATTGGACCAAAAAAAATTTAACACATAATCACTGGCTTCAGAAATGGTCTTGCAAGACAAGAATGACTAGTACTTTACTAAACCTAAAACCAAACAGAGAAAATGGAGTAATCTGAATTTGGGTGATTCCCTTTGGCCAAAACTCAGAGTTAGAAAAATACGTTACTCTTAAAAGATGAAAAGTCAGTGAAACCTACTGGATCACCCTGCATAAAACAGCCCCCGAAACAAAGGCAAAGAAATGTCACTGCAGTTAGAAACAAAGCAGGAGATCTGAAGTGTGTATGTGTGTTTGTTTTATTTGCAGTGCTGCTACAGTCTTATCCTGTATCTTTTTACCTCAAAGCAAGACCCCACCAGATGCTTGGATAATGCCAACCAATTAAAGTATAGTGAACCTTTTATTATGGGAGAATTACTGACTATGTAATCATTAGCAAGCTGCACAGTTTTGAGAGAGAAATATTATTTGAAAGGGTAACAATTCTCACTGACGTACCTGGGTGTTCCAACAGAGAGCACTCGTCTGAATCCTAAATCAATAAGGAGATTAAGTAGAAACTGGCAACTTCTGTCTGCAAATAAATACTGTGCATTTGTTTTTTTATTCTCCAGTGGATACAGAAACTGACTGGGACTTTTCAGCTGGGCAATGGAGATATCACAGAGGAACTGGTGATTTGAGTGTTTTTCCCATTCTGCTGGCAATAGCAATTGCTGGCATTCCTGGCAAAACCTCCTCTTTGATAATGGCAGCAGAACAAATTTCTTGTACCTTTAAATAGAAAAGACAATAGGGAACAAACTTTGCAAAAAGCCTCTATGAAAGACAAGTAGCAGAGCTATAGAGGGAGTTTCACTTTTTTTTAAGTATTCAGACATTTAAACAGACAATGCAGTTTACACTGCTCTTTCAAAACTCCTCATATGAATTAAGAATTATTCATGAAAAAATATTCAAAGGACACTTTGAAATGCACATAATACATGGTAGCCAAATATATTGAGAGTCTCCACAAAATAACTGGATTACAGAGTGAAGATTTCATAGGCTACCAGCAAAGTCCTGTATGTTTATACACAAAATTCAGACATTATTTGTTACTGTATTACCTTTGCTTTTTTTTTACAATGTTAACCCTGTTACTTTTGCAAACTAAAGTCAGACACAGAATCATAGAATTAGCTGGGTTGGAAGAGACCTCTGAGATCATCAAGTCCAACCCTTGATCCAACCCCACTGTGATTACGAGATCATGGCATTCAGTGCCACGTCCAGCCTCGTCTTAAAAACCTCCAGGGACGGTGAATCCACCACCTCTCTGGGCAGCCCATTCCGATGCCTGATCACTCTCTCTGTAAAGAACTTCTTTCTAATATCCAACCCCAACCTCCCCTGGCAAAGCTTAAGCCCGTGCCCTCTTGTCCTACATAAATTAACTGAAACTAATACTGATCTATTGTTAGCACATTATGAGCACTAACATAAGAACTATATATACATAAAAAAAAACCCAAAACAACCCAGTTCCTGGGTTGAAAATACTATGCTCTATTTAGTTGTTTCATCCTATTTTCCCTTTGCAGTCAACCAGTTCTTATTTGTCCAAATCCCTCTGCCACATCTTCGTATTTTAAAGAATCTTGAAATGTCTTCTCTACATTCGGAGTACCTAAACTTGTATAACTTCATTTCTACTACAGAAAATATGCATAATAATACCTTTCCACATTCTGTCTGTGTGTGGAAGTAGGTTGATGATTTCTATTATATTCTTCACGTGCTGCAAGCCTTGCTTCCGACACCTGTAAAATTTGTGTACATAAAAAGTTACAAAACAAACAGCTATGTTGTACATCAAATCTCAACATTAAACAAAAAGGGTGCATCAAAGGCCTCATGCTTTAGTTACTCTGCAAGGAAAAACCATCACATTCCTTGGTTACTTGTTTCACAAGAATAAGCATGACTGCAGCACATGGGAATGCTGCAAAACAACACCAGTCTCTCACTGTGAAGTTAAACTGTGCAAAAAAATAAATAGGGTTTCATTCTTCTACCACATGTAATACTCAGGGAAAAACTCAAAACGTGATTGTGATGAAGACAGAAGGAACTATCCTTTCCATTAATGCATGGCAGCAGTTGCATTCCCTCTGAAGAACTATGATCTGATTCTGAAAAACTGCAGAAATGACAGCAGAAATGTTGCCCGAGTCTTTTGTGTGTGATCATCTTAAAAGGAGGACAGCTCTTTGTTAAGACCTGCCCCTGAGTTTGAGTCATTAACCTTTAACATTTCAGTCCCTCACTCTTCTCTGAGTCTTCTACTTTCTTCCACAAAACATACTCGTGGTTTCATGTGCAACAGAGTTTCAAGACACTTGCACAAAACTTATGGAACTGTTTTGTTTAAAGAAGACAGTAAAATTCAACAGAACAAAAGACACTATGATACAAGTGACATTTAAAATGACATTTCACTACAAATCCCATTTAAATCTACACAACACAGAGACCAACTATCTCGTTTTCTCTTCCTACAACTTTTCAGTAGTAAGCATCACAGCAAAAAAACAATTATGAACCCAATTAAATTGCACCCTGCCAATCTGCTGAGGACAACGACTACAACACAAGATACTCATTCAGGAAACAAAAAAAAGTAACACAGAATCTACTGGACACAAGCGTAGCAAGCTCTCTGTGAATATATATCAATCCCAATTTCATTACCCTACAAAATTATGTGACCAAAGGTCTTTAGACGATGAGAAATTGCTGAGCATCATGCTGAACCCCATCATCTCAGCATTTTGTGTATCCCACTGTTTGTTTGCATCCAACAGATTTTCTCTGTCTTAAATCACAGGAGATGAGAGCATCTTGGGATCAGAAATATTCAATTTTGTTCAATATTACATAGCATTAGCAAACTTCTTACTTTAGATATCTCTGTGTTTTGGCAATACAGTAACAAATGCCAGTTTTGCTCAAAATGAACACAGCCTTCCTTAGAAGTTATACTTGAAACATGTTCTCTTCACAGAAATAATTGCTTTGCTAAGTATAAACTATTAGGTAAAGTTTAGAAAGTGACAATTGCCACAGATTTCCAGAGCAAAATATACTTTTTAACTGTTAAATGGATAAAAACATCCTCAGTATTTCATAGAATCATCAAATGCTTTGGGTTGGAAGTGATCTTAAAGATCATTTAGCTCCAATCCCCCTGCCATGGGCAGGGACAACTTTCCACTAGAGCATGTTGTTCAAAGCCCCATCCAATCGAGCCTTGAACACTCACAGGGATGGGGCATCCACAATTCTCCGGGCAACCTGTTCCAGTGCTTCACCACCGTCCCCTTAAAGAACTTCAAACCTACCTTCTCTACGTTTGAAGTCATCACCCCTTGTCCTATCATTACATGCCGTTATAAAAAGTCCCTCTCCAGCTTTCTTGTAGCCCCTTTAGGTACTGGAAGGTGCTATAAAAGGTGCCCCCAGAGCCTTCTCCAGGCTGAACAGCCCCAGCTCTCTCTGTGTTTCCCCATTGGAGAGGTGCTCCAGCCCTCGGATCACCTCCGTAGCCCTGAGTCTTCAGCAGAGCCTTAAGCAACGCTCTCTTACCTTCTCATCTTCCCACTGAAAAAAGTTACAGTCCTTTCTATCCCTACAGGCTGAACAAGCATAGAATCTTCTCCCTTCCTCTTTTCCTCGGCTGGTCTTCACGAACAGCAGCGCGGGACCTGGGGACAAACGCGACGATCGGTGACACAGGGGACAGGGGCAGGTCCGTCCCACCGCCGCAAGAGCCGAGCTCCCGGAACAAGGCGTTCCCCGCGGCTGCTGCAGGGCAAGCCCCGTCGGGACCCCAGGGCCGGCGTGGCGGTACCGCCCGCCCCGCGGGGCTCACCGTGCGGGCAGCTGGGCGCGCCGGCCGCGGCACCGACGAGGGCGATGCCGCCCGGGCCGGGCCCCTCCGCGGCCATCGCGCCGCCTCCGGCCCGGCGGGCACGGCGAGCGGCCCGGCCCGCAGCGGGCGGCGCCCCCCAGCGGCGCGGAGGCCCCGGAGGGACCCCCCACCCGGGACAAGGGACACGGCGGAACCCCGACCCCGAGCCGGTCCCGCGCGGCATCCACTGTCCTCAGCGGGCGTATCCCGTGCATCAACACCGTCTTTCGTTTTTTAATAAATCGTCCGGATAAAAACAATCACGGCAAGTTTTATAAAGGTGGGCCTTCCCCTCTCCCTTCGAGCTCCACCGTGCGGTGGGATTTACATTGAAGGCTTAAACATCTCGGGTTTGTGACTTTGCTGACGTGCTACATTAATATTTACATCCACTCAAAATTACATAAAATACAAGCATTTTATTATTTCTGAGTTCCAACAGTATTGCTTAGAATTACAAAATACAGCAATGTCTGAAATACTGAAGGTTTCATAAAAGCAGCAATCTTTCTCCCATTCCCAGTCTTAAACGTCCAGAAAATTACTAAAATAAAAATATTTATCACATTACAGAAGCTGCAGACCTAAAAACATGACCATCAAGTCTTAAACCAGGTAATTTAAGCATAAACACAAATGGCAATTGGCAGGTGAGCACGACATTGCTAAGAGCACAATAATAATGTATGTATTACAGTCTTTTCCAGTCAAAAAAAAAAAAGTGTTCTCTTTTTTTCCAGTCAAAAAACCAAAAACTGTGTTTAGCTAGAATTTTAGAAGGTAAACTAGCTTCGTGATGAAGACATTAGTGACTCTGTCATTAACAATGCAGAACCACTTTGGTGACAACTGATGAACACATTTATAGCATATGGCAAAAGAAACATAACATGGTGCAATTCCTTCATTGTGATGCATTTATAAAGAAATATCACAAATTTCCATATATGTGCTTAAATATGCAAGTTTCTAAACACTGCAATGAAATTTCAACCTCTGAAATGTACACTCAGTTTCTTCTGTCACAGTAGAAACTGTGTATTCACTCAGGTTGAATTTTGCTGTAATTTTTGGTCCCTCTGTGCAAGAAAAAAAACATAGTTGGAGCATTTTTTCCCCTTCTCCTACTTGGTTGTCAAGGACAGATTATTTTTTTTAAGTGCATGACTTTTCAAGTAACTAGCCTACAAAAATCTATAACCAGTTTAAAATATCAGGAAGAAATTCCAAGGAAAAGCATTTTTCACAATCAAAGATAACATTCTGAACTTTTTTTTCCAAAGGCCATATAAAAAGAAATTGATAGTGTATAGATTCTCACATGTATATTAAACCAAAAAAATCCTATTGTATTCAAAATTAGTTTCTCAGCATATGCAAACTATCTTCCCTTATTGAGAATACATTATTTAGCCTATAAAAATACAGTATGGACAAATTCTCCTCATTCCCTGACGTAAGAATTCACAATTTTGACACAAAAATTGTAAACTTTTATTACATTCAAAATACATTTCTTAAGTCTTTAGAATTTAAGTTCTGAGGTGTTGGCAGTCAGAGCTCTTGGTATACAGCAGAAGTACATTATTGCAGAGCCTTTACACAAAAGTACCTTTCTAAAGTTAAGAGAACTTACTCTTCCCACATATTTTTGTTGCTACCAGGAGGAAAAGAAAGGCTTCCTGCTATGAAAGGTCTGTGTGAATGCATTACTCAGTTGAACAATTCGGCCCTGACTTCCAGTGCTACTTCGCTCTACAATCACACGTGGCATCTGAACAAGCTGAATGGGACTTTTTTCATCCTTTAATGCCTGAGTAAGGTTTAGTATCTAAAAATAAAAGCAGGTAAGGTTAGAGTACACAAATAACACTGTGGCTAACAGGCTTATAAATTTAGATGCCACTCTTAAACCAATTCTGGAAAGGACTGTGTTGATGAATAAATTAATTTTAAAAGATACTCTATTGCAAGTAGAAACACTTTATTTATTTGGTAACATGAAGACATCCTGCCACTGACTATCCTTCCATTCTTTTCTTGAATATTTCACGCAATTCTCTCTAGGTTTTCAGAAAATATTATGAGATAAAAATCAAAGAGCATTCTAAACTTAGCACATCCCTTGAAAGCACTGCACCTTTAATGAAAAAAAAAACCTACAAGAAACACATCAACGCAATTTAACATAGGATCCATCAGCAGTTTAGCCACAAATTATTTTCATATCAGAAGATATGTGGCCATATTATCAATACATACCAAACCCAGTGCTAAGATCCGCATTCAGCCCTCAACTCATAGGAGTCTGTTATTTTCCTTCCAAAACTTCAGTGCTCATGGACTGCCCTGATAACTTACTTCATATTCAATGTTATCCTGCTGAAAACTGAGGCTAGTATTCATTTTAGCTCTGGTGTCACACTTGCATTATCCTTTATATCAAGCCTTTTTTCCCCTGCCCAATGACCTTTTCTTCCTTGTCAGACTTACTCTGCTCATTCTGCAATTCTCAAAGTTCTGAGGCAATCCTTTGTAGATACATTACCTATTGCTTAGACTATACATTCCTGAGAGAATTGTTTATTTTACTTCCCAAATTTTTCTACCTGCACTTCACAAAAATAGACTTTAACTATGTTTGGTACCTTAGATTTAAAGACCTCAGCCCTTACAGGCAAGACATGTTTATCTACAGTCTCCTTATCTTTATCAACTAGATTCTTAATTTTCTAATTCTTAAATTCCCATTTTTAAGGACGTATTTAGATGTTTTAGCTATTCTGCAAATTCATCCCAACTGAATGCATCCATGATCGAGGTAGCCAGCTCCTCTATAATGCCCTTGTAACATCAGTTTTACACCAAAACCAAGTCTAAAATCAGTGCTAAAAGGCATTGTTTGCTGATGTATTTCCAATCACACCCAAGAATTAATCATTATCTGTACTTCTTCTATGCCTGAAAACCTGACATTTCCCACAGTGAAACACACTCTTATATAGCTAGAGAGAGATTAAAAAAACCCCAACAAACACAACAAATCTCTGCTGAAATCCACCTCAGGGACGAGGTACAAAGAAAGGGTCCAGATGTGGCTTTTATAGTGAAAAACTAATTTAGGCAACCAAGCAGAGCCACAGTCTTTTGCAAGGTACTTCTTGATATAGGAAATTCTACAGAGAAAAGGGTGAATTAAGCCACTCTAGGAATTGTGCATGTCTGGCTTAAAACTATTCATGTTGATGAACACAGAGAAGTCAGTTTCAATATATTTAGGGTAAATGGGACTATTAATTTATCTAGTCCAATTGCTTACACTTGTAGAAATTACATTTTATACCTACAATGAACTAAGTAACTTGTTCTTAGCTAAAGCTTTTTCTCTAGTATTTCACACAAGTCTTAAATTGTAAGATAGCAGGAAGATGGAGAAACCCTCTTCTCTCTTGTTTTTGTGTTTTAAAAACAAACAAAAAAAACAAAACAAAAAACCAAACCAATAAAGCCCAACACTTAACGATCATGAAATTTCTAATCTGAAAATGGTTGGACTGTTTTGAAGTATGGTTTTCACATTGGATAGGATGAAGAAATTTTATTACCTAATACTGCTTTCTTGTGAGAGGCATTTGAACAATCAAGTCAACCCTCCAAAATAAAGTCATATTTATTTTAATAGCATAATGAAATTACATATCAAGTTTTCCATTCAAATTTATGACTCTTCTCCAATATTTCATTTTTAAAATGCCTTCTAAGAATATACAGTTATTTCCCCCCTATCCCCTACAAAAACAATAAAATCCAATTATTTAGGAATAATCTTCTATAAAAATAAAAAAAAAAATCAGCATACACTTTTTGCTGTCTCATCTATATGCAAAATGGAACAAACTCTAAGAAGAAACTGAGTCTTCTCAGATAAAAATACCTTCAAGTGTCTTTCCATTCAATAGGAGTCAGTTTTTGTTCCTCTAAAAAAAAGCAGCTGAGAAGTGATGACAAATTATATACATAAATAAAAATCTAAGAAAAGCAGACTTACCTGCCCCCTCATAACAGACATCTGGTTTTCAAAAGTGGTCTTGTCAAATCCTTTGTCAGTCTTTATTAAGAAAATAAGCAGTTATTATAGGAAACGACCCACTATTTTCAGCTATATATTTAGCATGTAAAATCATCAGTATCATAATAAGCATACTATTATTTACCAACACTGTAATAATTTTTGAAAGCTTCAAGCAGAATCCTAGTATGACCCACAAAAAGGCCTATTTATTGCAGCAAGTTTACATATGTGAAAATGAAAAAGTTCCACATCACAGAAATAAAATACATCAGTGGATATCACTTTTGGGAACTGTAAATACCAATAATATGTGGTAGATACCAGGCTTAATATCATTACATAATGTTACACTGCTCTTTCTCTCACATGTAGTCTGGCAGAAGAATACTTCCTCCCTCAGATTTATTAAATACTTCAACTAACAAACCCAGAGTCAAAGACACAAATATTTGTGTTTCAGGATCCAGTTTTGGTATTTCAGTTGCATTTTCATTAAAAGTTTAAAATTTTGAATTCTTCTAATGCTTATTTGGATTATTTCAATTGAACATCTGACACAATTGTTTACTTCTTTATATGTTTCAGTGTCTTTAAAATGAGTTCAACTTTAAATACAGTCAAAATTTCAGCATTAATTTAGCACAATATATGTACATAAAATTGAGTGTGTATATATATATATACACACAAAAGGCATGCACATATTAAGTTATGTTAAATACATTATTTCCTCAGGTTGCTACAGCAAAGTGCATACACACCACACAGGTATGTTAAATGGAGTTTTTAGACCAATTTGTGCTATAAGAACTAACTGGCTTTAACTGATTATGTGAAACTTAGATATATAATAGGTAATTATGTATTCAGATGAGCTGATTACTATGAATTAACCACAATGGTGACACAGTTTGCTTTTAATTACATAAACCCTTTGTACCATGCCAATGTTAAAGCTAAAACAGTACAGTA